CCTAGATCTCGAACACGTGAATCGGTAACGTGATCGACCCTCTTTATAACGCAAATATTCTCGAGGGAATTTACAGTCCTTCAAAAATCGATCGGAGATGTAATAAAAAAATGTATAGATATGTATATACCTATAATGCAAGCATATGTAAGTATCTCTTATTCGGCAATATTATTTTTTAACAGAGACTGTTTTCCAGTCGTAAAGCTGTCATTTAACACCGTTGAGATACATGTGTAATTTTTAATAATAAATTAATAGAGAAAATAAAAAAAATATATATAAATCCTTTTTCATCTATGTGTGTAATAATATTCTTAGTTATGACATCATATTAACTGTATGTAAAAATAAATCACAAATTATATTATTAAAAATAATCAAAAATAGCTAAAAAAATCATTTTTAAATGTCGTTATTATTAAAGGAATCCGCGAAATAGTTTCTGCAAATATTAGCCTTACTAATGTTATTTCAAAATATCTTATCCGATACAGGAACACATATTCTACGATCAAATTGTATTTTTAATCGCATCGGAAGGTTATGGACGTACGCAGGTCGCGTGCGCCAAAGATAGCGGTGCGATTGCATTACTTGTGTCACTATTTTTGACAGGAGCACGCTCTCATCGCTGACAACACGGAAGCTCTAAAAGTTATCTTAATTTAACATTATCGTTATAGAAACTCGATCTTTGATCTTTACAAAGTAAAATATGTTTTGCCCGGTAATTTTCCCTTTATCTTTGCTCATTATTATCATGATATTATCATAGAAATCGATTATTAAAACATCAGAATATTTTATACCCGATTTAAAAATTGAAATTCTTTTCAGGAAGTATTACTTTGTTCTATAAATTTATAAGATTAAAATAACAATTGCTAATATAATATATGCATTACAGAGTTTTCGTTTAATTTAGATATTGTCAGTCAATTTCTTTAATTATATATATTAAGAAGTAAAGCTTTCGATCGATCACCAAACACCTGAGAGTTGAATACTTTTATTAAACTTATTAAAGCCGTGTTTACGAAAGTCAAAGTAAAAGTCTGAATCATCATTATTGTCGGCTATTTACACCTACTATCGCCTACTACCGCGATCATTCGATGTCGGGCAGCAGGCAGTATCTTACAGATACTCCATCGGAATGGTAAATTATATTACGACCTTGGGGAAGACGTAGGCCACTAGCGTCTTAAATGTGTAATGATACACTATTCCTTGCATGAAGTACATTACCTAAAGCGCAAAGAATAAGATAATATTAAAAGAGTTACTTATAATTAATAGAATAATAAAGAAATTCTCGTTCTACTAAAACACATAAAGGCTGAACAACAATTTTTAGTCAATGTAATGCATAATCAATTTATATAATAAAATATATAAAAGATTTAAAAATACTCTCTCTTTTATGAAAAATTATTAAAAGAATGTATAAAGTATCCCCTTTTTTTCCGTGTACTTTGTTTATAGAAACTTTAAAAACTCAGATCCATGCTTCTTTTACAAAATTATAAAAATCCCACGATTATGATCGTAACTTTTGATGTTTATAAATAAGATACGAAAATTATGTTAAAGATATTAGCTTTATTCTGTCGAACTGCATAATTTAACTCCATATATAGTTCGGTATATCGATTAAAAATTATGCAAGCGTTATGCAAGTTCAAGGCGGTAACGGTTTATCTTGCGCACAGTCCGGCCGGCGCATGTGGATTGCATGGCGAGATACGTGATTTATCCTGTGCCGTTATATAAATTGCCTTACCAATGAACAAGTACGCAACACGGAGAAATGTTTATTAAACACAGGTGCAATTAGGCTTCTAGGTTATCTGTAGCAATCAAATAATGAAGTTGAACTTGTTTTCGCAGACATGAATCATTAAACTTTCAATGCTACGAACAAACTTAAGTATTATCAATCAAAATGTTGTCTCTTATCCAAATAATGATCACATTAACATCCTCTGCATACTAATCATCTCATATTTACTTATTTATTCATTGACTATTATTTATCAAAGGAAGTTCAAGTTAATATTAATTAATTTACTTTAATAAACATGTAATATTAATGTTGTATTAATATATACTAATATTTAAAGAACAGGTATATATAAACAATTTTTATTATAATATTTTAATATTTTATGTTATTTCTAAATTTTCTTTTGTTTCATTATTTTGTAGTCTTAATTCTTTCACTAATATGAATATTAGTAATAATATAAGTGTAATATGATCAGTAATAATATAAGTGTAATATATGACAGTTTTTTTTAAAAAAGATATTATTATTATAAAGTTCTTTAACAGAATTAATCGCATTAGCTCGCATAATCGCCTTTTATTTCTTGTAATTGAATACATACTGCATGTAATGTAGTAGATCAATGTGCGTTAATACATACGTAAATCAAATGCTCGCCAAAAATGTCATGCATATATAATAAGATTTTCGCGCGTATATAACGCTGTCATGGTCATTGAATTGCGTCGAGACGATTATGATCATGAGCGATGAAAATAATTACCGCGTAAATAAATGCACGTAGATTTAATCAGTTGCAAGATAATATTTAATAAAATTTTTCCCGGTACTAATTATAATATCATTCACCTGAAATTTTCGTAATAACATTTTTTTTGTGTTCCTATATTAATTATGTTTTATCACGTGCTGCATAAAAATTTTTTATTATATCATTAAATTGCTTATATTAATAAAAATTATTTTCTCAATTTTTTTGGTTAATAATAAAAGTTAATACAACATTTAAATGTAACTTTCATGAGGCAATGAGTTGTCAAATTCACGCCGCGCATCAGACTGTATTTGGATTATCAAAGGACAAATTAACGTGATAATTAACAGGAAAATATGCTGAATAGGCAATCACATATTAAAATACTACTGTTCATCTACTGTGTCCTTGAAGGTACAATGCACTTAAAAATCGTTTTTACAACAATTTTTTTATATTTTCACGTTTTTATACTATGTGTCTATATGTCGCTATTTTACTAATTTTAAATTCAATTTATTGTAACAGTTTACACTGAAAATATTCATTTATTTAGTGTGTAAAATGTGTATAATAGCATAAAGTAGAAAAAGAGAGAAAATCATCGAATATTAATCCTCCTCTATAAATTAGTTGATACGAAATACATTTCAGAGTTAAAAAATGTATTCTGTATTAATATTGTGAGTGATAGCAAAATTAAAATGACTAGATATTACTAGATATGCAATTATTGTTTTAAGATACCATTAAGATTCTATGTTCTTTTAAAGTATAATAAAATATAAAAATAGGCTTAAATTATTTTAAGAGAAACACTCTATAATAATATGGTATAAAAAAGATAACAATATATTTAAGTTCTATATAATTTTGGATAATGTTGCATTTTGTGTGTGTGTCACTCAACCTGCTTTATCGCAAGAGCGTAGAAATCAGGTGAATGAAGGAGAAATGCGAAGGGGTGCAAGATCGACTCCACCCTCATATCTCATGACACTCCCATCGAGGTTATCAGAAAGCATGCGACGCAAATCGCCAAGATCGACAATCGTGAGAAGAGAATCTTAGGGTCAGCATATGAAAAAGGCAATTGCTTCTATTTTCCCACCCACCTTCTCTTAAACCTGCCACCTTGTCACCTGACACCTCTTCACTCCCTCGAGAGCATCCGGATACACGCACGCATACGCGTAGCTGTGCATCCCACAGATGAACCGATAAGGAAAAAAAAAGAGGGGGAACGGAAAGAAGGAAGAGAGGAAGAGAGAAAAAGAAATCAGAGAAAAAAGTGGAAGAAATGAAAGATCAGAAATAACGGGGAATGAATAAGCACGCAAGAAAATAAAAGAGGGACAAAGATGGACGATTTGTTTCTTTCAACTGCACTTTCTTACACTCTGTATATTTTATCTCAAATTAATTACGCTATTTCACACTTTCTTATAAACGGACTGTATCAGACTACATATTGAAGATTGAAGATTACGGATTAAAAATTAGAATTTAATCAATCAGAATAAAGCAAAATAAAATCATCCGATTGATAGAATTTTTATCATTAATTCGCGCAAGTTTTAATGCCTAATTTGCAAGTCAATTGCATATGTTGAAGTAAGTTAATTATAAAATTATAAAAGTAAGCAAATTTATTAGAATATTTATAATTTAATTGGTCAACGTCATCTAGTAATTACGTTTATAATTTTCATTTTGTTCCAAGCTACAGAATCAACTTTCTGATACGACTTTAAGTTCTTTGAAATTTAAAAGATATATGTAACCGTAATAGGAAAAAGAGAAAAATAATATATAGACAAAGAATAAATTTGAAATGAACAAAGCCAGCAGTCCAAGAGAAGCAGATTACTCATCTTTTTAGTTATACTTTATTACATTCAAAGAGCAATCATAAGCATGTGCATATTTAAATTAAAACTGGGTGAAAAAAAAAAGGTAATACAATTTAAAAAGCAATTTTATATCTAAAATCATACAATGAAGAAAGAGAAAGAAGAGGAAGAAAAGAAATATCGCAGAAAAAAAACGAATAAGAAAACGAAAGAGAGACAAAGATGGACGATAAGTCTGCTCCTTTCAACCGCACCTTCTTACACTCTCTACACCCCCGTCAAAATTAACTGCACTTACTCACTATTTCACACTTTGCACTTTCCTACACTTTCATGTGTAAATCAAAATAGGTACGCACACAATTGTCACAAGAGGAGAGAAAGGAGAAAAATGAATAAAAGAATGGACAAAATTCAGCAGTCGAAGAAGCAATCCGTCTATCCTTTTCAAGCGCAATTTATGACATTGAAACGTGTACTCGATATAGGAGCGTAAGAGAGCGGATGAGAGTAAAGGCGATACAACTGAAAGAACCTCGAAAACTATAACAGTTGAAAAAGAAAGGAAATCGCAGCAGGCGGGAGAGGTTATGGTACTTACTGCTGATCTTCATACCGCCGAGGGGCGGATTCGCGGGCGGCTTGTTACCCTCGGCGAAGGAGGTGGTTCTCGGTCGTCCGCTCATTCTGAAGCCTTCTCGACCGCCTCCACCTCCGCCTCCACACCTACACCGTGGCTTGAAAAGGTTGCGTTCCCGCTACCTCTTTCTCTCCCGCTACTCCTGCTGCGTCTACTAGGTTAGGTTGGCCGGTACCTCTCCGGCGATTCTCCTCCTCCTCCTCCGCCACCGTCTGAAGTTAGCCCCGGTAGTCGCCGTTGATGTCGTTTCCCTCGTCGTCAACACCACCTCGCACATCAATAACAGTCGCACCACACGCGATTATCACATCGCACGAGAGTGCGCGCTCACGCGCGCACTTTCTCTCCTCTCTCTCGCTCTCCTTTTATCTTCACCTTTTCACACCGTTTTCACCGTTTTCCGCCGTTTTCCGCTTCACGTAATGTTAAACGACGTTCGCCTGCTAGTCGCCGGATGGAAAGGAAAGAGAGAGAGAGAGAGAGAGAGAGAAAGAGAGAGAGAGTGTGTGTGTGTGTGTGTGTGTGACAAGGAGTAAGGTAAACGTGGAGGGCAGGAAGAGATGGCGATAAGCAGACCGCAGACGACACTTACTTTTCACGGATGACTTTTACCCTTCCTGCAAAGGTTGACGAGTGTCGTTGGGAAAGGGGGGGGGGGGGGGGGGGGAGGAGGAGGAGGAGGAGAGAAGAGGAGGGCCCACCTTCGTACACACGACGTCGTCGTACAGGCGACACCACCCTCTTTTTATTCTTTTTTTTTTCGGCAACACACTGACGCGCACTCTCTCGGCGACGACGGCCTAGCTTCCTTCTCGCGCTGCTGTCACGGTGATGCGGCAGCGGCGGCCGCGCGGCGAGCAGCTCCAAAGCGCGGTACCGTCAGCCAATGAACGGCGGCGGGGGAGGGGGAGGAGTGACGCTGCGGAGCGCCGCTGGCGAGAACGTCGAGGGGTGCGTGCCAACGTCGTGGCGGCGGCGGCGGCGGTGGTGGTGGTGGTGGTGGTGGTGGTGGCGGCGGCAGACCGACGTTTTCGGGACGGCTTGTACTCCTCGGTTCCTATAAAACGCGGCTGCTTCCTCGCGATCCCGCGCCTCGGCTCTCTCCGTCGTTGTTGATCGCCGACGTATTACGTTGCGGCGCGCCACCGCGCGGTATGCTCCGCCGACGACGCGCGGCGTGAATCCTTACTTCCCCACGATCAACGTCGCCGCCGTTGATCTATCTTTGCTCCACACACTCGCTACTCCGCGACGTTTTCCCTCTCTCTGTCTCTCACTCACTCGTGTGTCGCGCCTCGTTCTGTCTTTCTCCTCTCGCTCGCGCGCACGCTCTCTCTCTCTCTCTCTCTCTTCCTCTCTTTGTCCCTCGCACTATCCTCTTCTTCGTCTCGTCACTTGCTCCGATTCTTGCGTTACTCCACTCCACTCTGCTCCTCGTCACTAAATGTCTGACAGATTTCCGTACTGCTATATTTCGCCGCGCGCGGTGCGAGTCGGGTAGTAGAAAATTACAGAGCGAGAAGAACGACTACTGCGCTCTTCTGGACAGGAGGGTCGTCGTCGCCGTCGCCGTCGCCGCCGTTCCTCGCCGTCGTTCAACGCCCGTGTTCAATCGGATCGGTACTGACCCTCTTTCTTTCTTTCTTTCTTTCTCACTTCCTCTATCCTTTTCTCACTATCGCTGGGTGTCGTGCTGGGCACCGGACAGGCCGACGCAGGGCAGTTCCTCGCAGCAGCTTCCTCAGTATGTCGCGACGACGCGATGGACGCGCTGGTAAATATCGAACGCGGAAAAAAAAAAAAGGAATCGCGCGTCCGCGGGTCACACGGCGGCGGTAATGTCGAACGATATACACGGCGATCAGCGACGACCTCTCTACCTCGTCGTCGTCGAGCAGCAGCACGGCAACACCACACCGACCATTGGATTTTTCGATACCTCCTCCTCAGACATTGACCCGTTCGGGCGAGATCGGGCCAGTCGAGCGACGACGAACGTTCCCGAACGTGACGTCAGCGATACCCCGCCCTGCCCCTTGTCGAGGGAGCCGCGAGCGGCGTTCTATCGAGTATCGATGGTGGCGCTGTAATCGCGGTTTTCAACGCCTCGCTCTCGCGATTTTCCATCATTCGCGTTGTGGCGCGCAGTTCGAATCCAGGTCGAATATTAAGAAACAGCTATTGTAGAGAGCGGGACGTAACGAGAGGTAGAGTCTGCCGTATAGAACACAACTTAACTTTAATTTCCGATAAAGATTAACTTGGTTTAACTTACTGTTTATCTTTTTCTAATTTTTATAACTAGAAAAAGACAAAAGAGTAAATTGAATCGATGAGATTAAAGTTAATCTGCATTGGTGGAAATGAGCATTAGACTTTCAGGACAATTAATAAGATTATTTTTGATTTGCTTACGATGTCCATTAATTCCAACGTCATACGCGAAAGCTTGTGCGTTGCTTACGTTTACAACTTAAGTCTATCTTAATGTGTGTTACGACAATTCTGTGCGCAGACTCGTAACTGTGACTCGTAGTCGTGACGTAAGATAAGAAACAATGATTTTTTAAATATACAGTGGCGTGCAAAAGATTCTTGCCAGTAACATATTTTCTTAATTTATAAAAAAGAGACTAATAAAATTATTATTATTATTATTACAATAGGTGTTAGTACAAGATTTCGTTACCTACATCTTGTACTATAACGCCCGATAATGATTAACATTTTATCAGGTTTCTTTTTTTATAAATTAAAATACAAAATGTTATAGGCCGGTAACTTTTGCATTTTAATTTATAAATTAGAGCTACTGCTTACAAATTAGAGCTAGATATTCGAATATTTTATAATATAGAAGTTTGATCGCTAAACTGTAAACTTATTGGACGACAATTAATGTCTTCAATTGTATTCTAAAAGAAAAAGGAAACAATTGTTTTACTTGTTTCTTTTATCTACGGAAAATATTTACTTTCTTTACTTGATGAAACGCATAGCTTTCGTGAAAGAAAAGATGATATTATTTACCGATACTTTCCTTGCAACTACCAGATTTTGCTCTCTATAGATTTGTTATGTTATATACTCCAGACTCCTTTCACTTAAAACAACATACGTTTACTTGAGCATTAGAATGAAAATAGAAGAAAAATAGTGGAAATAAATTGAGAAATAAATAGACGAAAAATATTGAGAAATGTACGACTTTCTTTCTAGAAAATTATAATTTAGCATATATGTTGAATAATTTTTTAAATAAACATATGCTTTATTGTATTAAGTAATTTATTTTATCATATTATGTATAATTTTCGACAAATACTCAGGAATTAAAGTTTCTACTGCTCGTAGACAACGAAATTTTTGCCGCTCCCATTCAACTTTGTAACAACGTCGGCGAGTATATTAAAGCATGCGACATGAACAAACGTCTATAGTAATCAATGGTAAATTTTTTCAACCATTTGCGGTTTGGCAAAAAATAATTACTTTGTAAAACTTTTTTTCAAAAAATGTCGCCCCCTCCTAAACTTGCCGCCCCTAGACATAGCCTAGGTTTTAGTTTCTAGTGCTAATATAGCACTGAAGCCATCATATATACTACTCTAATCTGAGTAAAAGTGAGATATCTGAATTGATAAAAAATGCCTAATACATATATTTTATCAAATAGCACAATAAAACGTATTGAGGATTTCGCGGTTTAATTTGTTTCTTATAGATTTTAATTAAACATACGTGCACGAGTACGCACTATTAGTTCTGCCGATGAAACACTATTAAAGATATATTGTAGTTTTATATACTTATGTTAGTTTTATAAGTTTGAAATTTATTGATTTATGAGATGCTCCGATTTCCCTTAATTTATATAAATTAATAAGATCTCTAATTAAATTTATAAAATTATTACTAGAACGTATTATAAATAAAGTAAAAGTATTTTCGGGAATTTAATTGTTTTTTCTTGAAATCATACTTTTTTATTAAAGAATATAAACCTTCAATCTCTATTCAATCTTATATTCTCGTGTTTGAAATATTGAATTATGACAATGATACGAATATACCTATATGTGTTACGAGAATATTTATAATATACAGTCAGATGATAAAATGTTTTTCTTCTCTACCGATGGTAAAAAAATGTATTACTCCACAGAGATGTAAACGTATTTATCGACGATTAGTTATTCTACGTTTTATACGTCATTCCCTCCACTGATACGTACAGATCGTGATATTTATTCGCGGCACACAAATTCAACGACTCAACCTGTCGGTACAGTACCCTTAATTTTGCTGGTAACGCAGAGACCCGAAATTAGCTCGTATTCGTGGCCGATGGTGCACTAGCTCCGTCTGGTGTGATGGTGGCGAACGACCGCGACGCCCCTTCTCCCTCCATTACTACCCCGACGCTCCGTTCCGTCGTCGGCGCGCCGGTGGCAAAGCGCGGGTTACGGTTTAAGTTGCATTTTAGATGCGAACGAACGCGCATCTCTTTTGGACTCACGGTTACGCGGATAACGTTTCGTGAACATCGGGGCGCGCGTTACGAGCTAAGTGCGACACGAGTCATTTGTGAACGATTCTGCGACGCGGATCGTCACGCAGGATATTGACCGGTGAGTTTCAAATATTTTTCTCGCCCGTGTGTGTTTGATGTTTTATATCTCGAATTCGGCGCGACTCCCAAACTTTTGCGCTGAGAAACCGCGTACGTGCGTTTCCGTGTATACGAGAGGACACTTGCTCCTTTCAATTGCTATTCCATGCGAATTAAATTGTAATAAAATGGCAGTGCCTCAAGCTCTTGTTAACTTTTTTCCGTATTGGTGATTAAATTAAGTATGTAGGCAACACAAAGTATTCAAAATCGGGGTATAAGATATCTTTGGTGGTCTCAAAGATGTCTTATGTCTTAATTTTAGACTTTGTGTTGGCACAGTTATATATACAGTTTTTAATTTTAAATACATATACATTTCCAGCACTTTCTTCAATTATATAGATTCTTCCTCGGATTCTTTAACGCCCGTTTCTACTAATATTTAGTAGTTTAAGTTTAATCGCGAGTTCAACTAAACTCTTTGTTTTTCTAGTTCCGAGAAAAAGATAAAGAGAGTAAGTAGAACCAGGGGTTAAAGTTCATCTACATTGAAATAGGTACTATAACTGATTGGAAGCAGTTGAAAAATAAGTTATAGTCTTTAGCCATTTTTGAGAGAAACATATTTCAAACATAGTTCTATCATGGGGATGTAGGATAAAATGACTTTTTGTTTTGTTGACACACGTCTGTTTTTTGATAACTGCTTTCCGATTGGTTTTGTTATGCTTGATGCACTCTCGACATATAGGTACCTAACAACATTCTGCGCACACATACACATACATAAGTCCAAAAATTGTCAGTCGCTAAATTTTTTTTTGCAAATTTTTCTAAATTTTTATATGCTGCAAATTCGATATGACGTTATTTTAACGGTTATTCTACTTTGGTTTATCTCAATTTATGCAATTATTATTTTAATAGCTATATTATCACAATGTGTTATTTTGACATACACACGGAAAACATTTTCTCTTAAAATTTACCTTGAAAATAGCAGTTGTCATACAATACAATATTTAAAAAAATATTTACCGTGCACTTCAATAAAAAATTAATCAAACTTATTTTATATTTTATATTGTTATAGTTTTATTAGCGAATGAGAAAAATATACATAACATTCTTCGAAATACAATGTTGTCCCGTGTAATTCTCTCCGTGTACCCATAATTGTAATATTTACTTTTTAATACATGTGTCTTTTAGTGTCGAGGTAAACATCAAACGAATATTGCAGTATGAAATAAAATAACGAGTAACATTTTATTTTAATGACGGTATGAAAGTAAAATACAGTTCAATTACACATTTTTGTTATGAGAGAAAATGGTTTCTCCGGGAAGTCTTATCATTTTCTCTTATAACTTGGAGAATAACTCGTTCACGACATTTTCGTGAAGGAAAGATCGGCTCGACAATGGTCGAGGAATCCGCAATTGAAAAGAAATATATCTTTTATATCGTGGTTGATACGGAACACCTTTGTATATTTGACAGGGAAGGAGCGTAAAAGTCTTTGAAGGTAGAAAGAAGAAAGAGTGTTCGAAAAATGTTAAAAGTACCTACGATTGAAACGAACAAATATTCTGAGCGCTTTCTGTGAATATTTCAGTTCTTTATCATTTTTGTTTTGTACCATCACTTTTGTTGTATAGTTTTAGAGAGTGACATTTTCTACGATTACCGGTGAAATTCGTGATATTTTGCATTTGGCATGTTTGTTTCTGAACTTGTGTGTAGTGGTTGAATATTTCAAGTATTCATCAGTTGAAAGCAATAAAAGTGACGTGTTACATTCGAAATGTTATTCTCACTGAAATAATATAATTTTCGATTTTATTTAAATTTTTGTCAAACTTTATTGTATTATTATTTGTCTTTCAAGATTACAAGAATTTGAAATTTATAATAAATCTGCTATTGATGCGCTCGATTTCTACCGCAATCTCTAACAGAAATTTAATAAATTAAATTATTCTGTGGCATAACTAAATAACAAATATCGAATAATGACATAAAAGGAAGCAATAATATATGTTGGCAATTTTCAAATGTGAAACGAGAGATGTGCAATTGTGTTTTGATACTAAAATAGTTAAGAGAAATATTGTTTTCATTTCTCAATATTATACAGTTATTTAAATAATTTTCTTATGCGCGGGAGATATTTTTTTAAAAAGAGTAACGCTAATGAAATTAATGAATTAAAGAATCATTTCTTGCAAAAATACATTTTTCTAAAATCATTTTTTTGAAACTCATAAATAATATGCTAATAAATTAATTCTTTCGTGTTGGTTAATAGATTGT